GCCCCGAGGTGAAGCCCAGGCCTAGGACCCCCCTTCCCCGCCCCGTGACCCTCGCGCTTCTCGGGGCCTCTGCGCTGCGCACCTGCTTGGTCTCCGCGCCTCCTTCCCCGGCCTTCCCGGACCCTTCTGGCTTTCCGGCGGGAGCCCCCTCCCCATTTAGGTGCCAGCTCTCCCCGCACCTATTCCTCCCTCCACCCTTGCCTGCCCTTCTGCCCAGGCCCTGGGCCCCTGGTTTAAGTTCGGCGTGTCGGGGGCTGTGTGTTTATATCGTGTCGAGCCCCCTGGGCTTCCCTCTGCCATCCTCTGCACCTCACCTCAGACTTCTAGACGCCCCTCTCCTGGCTTTTCCATTTCCTTCTCCCAGCGGGAGGGGTGGGGGGGTTGTCTGAGAAGGACTGCGAGAAGACGGCCCTCCTTTTCCAACGAGCCCTTCTCCCTGACCCCTCCAATCTCCAACCCCAGGCCACTCCTCTCGGTACCACCTCTTGGGAAGAAAAGGGACACACCTTTGGGGGTTTGGGATCCTGCTCCATCGGCTGGGCTGCAGGATGCTGTGAAGTGGGGGGTGGGATGGAGGGCTCTCATTCCAGGAGGACCTGGGCCCGGCAGCCCCTGCTCTTTCTGGCTCCAAGGAGAAATGCCAGCTTAGCTCTGAGAATACCTGGGGGAACCCCAGCAGCGTCCACAGTGGGGGCGGACGAGAGACCCTCTGCTCCCGCTCCCTACAGGGTCTCCCCATCCCATCTCATCCTTTCACCGTGGCAATGACCTCCCCCTCCTCACTGTGTGACCTTCTCCCAGCCCTCCCGCCAGAGGGGGGAGGGATGGAAAACGCTTATGCTGCCGAAGACTGCGGCCAGCTCCTCCCCGCCCACTGCAGTAACCTCTTTCCCGCCCCTCCCGCTCCCCGCCCCGCCCACGGCTCTCGGGCTCCACCCCTCTAAGCCTCTTGTCTTTCTCCTTCAGTCCCTTCCACCCAAGGAGATTTCCAGCATCATGTCGATAGAAAAGATCTGGGCCCGGGAGATCCTGGACTCCCGTGGGAATCCCACGGTGGAGGTGGATCTTTCTACTGCCAAAGGTAACGGTAGGGCACGGACCTTGGTGCGCACACACACTGGACTTACACTGGCCTGGGATGGGAGGCTACCTAGTGCTAGTGGATGGGTGCTTGTCTAGCGCACAGCCTGGGGAATGGGGGGAGGGGAGGATCCTCCTTGTGCGAGGGTGCAGAATGGGCAGGTCTGTGTTCCGGCATGAGACAGACCCCCCCCACCCTGGGGTGCGTCTGCAGGTGCAACTGTGTGAGTGAGTGTTTCTGTGGGCCCCATTTGCGCTTGTGGGAGAGGCCACTGCTTGTGCCTCGGCCGTGTACGTGTGTGCACGTGTGAAGGGAGCCGTGTGGGGAGAGGGCTGGAAGGTGGAAGTAATTCCTGGCCCAGTTGTGCCCTTCTCGGCCCACGTTCCTCTGGCAGGTCTGTTCCGGGCTGCAGTGCCCAGTGGAGCCTCCACCGGCATTTACGAAGCCCTTGAGCTGCGGGACGGTGACAAGCAGCGCTACTTAGGCAAAGGTGAGCCCCCGCGGTCCCCAGCCCTCGTCTAGTTTGCTCTCTCTTCTCCTCCCTCAGGCTCCTCCTAGCCTGACCATCCCCACCCCCTGCCTCTCCTCAGGTGTCTTGAAGGCAGTGGACCACATCAACTCCACCATTGCTCCAGCCCTCGTCTCCTCAGTGAGGCCCTCTCTCTGCTGGGGAGGGCAGGACCCAGGGCCAGGAGGGAATCCTGGTTGAGAGAGGGCGGAGGAAAGAGGAAGGAAGGGCCACTTTGGGGGATTCGTGGTTCCTGGGATGGGGAAGGAGGTCCCCTACTGCCCCCTGCTCCCACGAAGGACTCAGGTCCTCTCACCCAGATAGGCCCTGTCCCAGGGATCTGGTTGGACCCCAGCAGAATGGGAGCCTGTGTACCAACGGGAGCCCTGCCCTTGGGCCCAGCCTCTATCTTGGCCCTGCGTAATGTGAGCTGTGTCCACAGGGCCTCTCGGTGGTGGAACAAGAGAAACTGGACAACCTGATGCTGGAGCTGGATGGCACTGAGAACAAATGTAAGCAGGACCTGGGAGAAGGGGGTGGGTATGGGGTGGGCAGAGAAAGAGCAGACAGAAGGGGCCAGCACTGTGGGGACTTCCTCAGGGAGGGCTGCCAGTGGACTAGTCCTTCTTCCTCCCACCTCCCAAAGTTGAAGTGCAGGGCGAGGCAGTCATGGTAGGGACAAAGAACAGTTTCTTTGCCGAGTAAAGAGGAGAGAGGTGCTGTTGGGTCTCTTCAACACGAGGTCGGCTCTTTGCCCTTTGCCCACCTCCCCTGCTATTTGTAGGGAAGAATGCATGAGATGCACACATCTCTAGAAGGGCTCATTGCAGGGGTGGGGAGGGAGGAGGGCAATCTCTTCTATTAGCTCCTTTTGGGGCTCATGGGGGGAGGCAAGGGTTAGAAGAAGGTTTGCTCAGTCCTCTCTTCTTTAAACAGCCAAGTTTGGGGCCAATGCCATCCTGGGTGTGTCCCTGGCTGTGTGTAAGGCGGGGGCGGCCGAGCGGGATTTGCCCCTCTATCGCCACATTGCTCAGCTGGCTGGGAACTCAGACCTCATCCTGCCTGTGCCGGTGAGCACTCCGCTGTGTTGGTGCCTGTCGCCGGGATGCGGGGAGAGGGAGTGGGGGGCCTGGGGGTGGAATGAAGGTAGGAAAGGGCACCGGGTGCCTGACGAGAAAGGATAGAGCACATAACCCTTGCTTGGGTTTGGGAAGCTGGGGCAGCTTTGGGGTTGGAATGGCTGTCGGATCTTGGGTTAACTCCTCCTGTGCCTCCACAGGCCTTCAACGTGATCAATGGCGGCTCGCACGCTGGGAACAAGCTGGCCATGCAGGAGTTCATGATCCTGCCTGTGGGTGCAGAGAGCTTCCGGGATGCCATGCGGCTCGGGGCAGAAGTCTACCACACACTCAAGGGGGTCATCAAGGACAAATATGGCAAAGATGCCACTAATGTGGGGGATGAAGGTGGCTTTGCCCCTAACATCCTGGAGAACAGTGAAGGTAAGGCCAAGAGCCCCGACTCTCTCCAGGGACATCCGGAAAGGCCCCCCCTTCACCAAGTTCTGAGGAGGAGGAGTGGGGTTCCAGAACCACCCATTCTAAGAGGTCCCACCCCCTAGAAGAGGTACCAGAAAACCAGCCGTAATTCACACGCAGGCCCTCAGATGAGGTTTTGCCTGCCTAGTCCGATCAGTTAGCAACCTGTAAGTTCTCAGGGGAGCCCCTGAGATTCTGGGAGGTGGTCTAGGTGTCCTGTGGGATCCAGTCCATGTTTTAGTTCCATGTGATTCCCTGTTGGATGAGATCCTGCCAAGCTCCGGGGAATCCATGCTAAATCTCTCCCCGTCCCAAGCCAACTTCTTTTGCCTATAGGCCCCTTAGTGTGTCTGTCTCAGGGAAAACAGTAACACGAGCATGAAGGGTGTGGCTAGAGTTTAAATTCCGAGGCCACATCACCTGGGTTTGACTCTTAGGTAGGAAGAGTTACGTGCAGACAACTTGATTTCCTTCTCTGCTTTGTTCTAGCTGCAGAAGGGGTGACAACCGTACCTCCAGGGGCAGGGGTGGTTTGGTGGCAGGGTTCTCACCTTCCATGTCGAAGATCCCCGTTTGATTCCTAGCCAGTGCACTGCCGCCACTCCTCTGCCATGATTGGCCTGGGTACTGCAAGGACGCTGACTTGGGGTCAGCAAAGCTTCCAGATGCAAATAGACCAGGAAGAAAGGTCGGGTAATCTGCTTCCCCAAACCAATCGATGGAAAGCCTATGGTTCACCACCGTTCAGTCTGAAACAGATCAGGGGGTGGCACAGAACTGGATAATGTTTCAGTCCGTTGTGCTGTGAGCCAGGGCTGGCTTGATGGCAGTTCACGGTGAAGATTAAAAGAGCTCTTATATGACAAACTCCTAGTTGACGTAGCCCACTGCCCTTGACCCACTTCTACCTCATAGCCACTCTGTAGGATAGCGCAGAAGAAGTGTGCCCCAGGGTTTCCGAGACTGTAAATCTTTACAGGAGCAGACAGCCTCATCTTTCTTCCAAGGAGTGGCTGGTGGCTTTGAACTACCGACATGAAAGTTAGCAGTGCTCTCTGTTTAACCCACTGTGCTGCCAGGGGTCCTTCTGGTTGACATAACCCTTAATACACGATAGCCATTTCAAACCCAACCCAACCCCTGTCAACAGAGTCCTTTCCTCTGCCTGCCTAGGAGTAGCCTTGGCCAGCCCCCCTAGACCTGGGCATAACCCCAGTGGCTTCAGCCAGGCTCACCCAGCAGCAGTCCTCCACCTGTGCTCTGTCTTGTCTTTGCCTTCATCCTTCCTTGCCTCCTGCTTACCATCTCACTGTTCCACCGCTAGCCCTGGAGCTGGTGAAGGAAGCCATCGACAAGGCCGGCTACACAGAGAAGATCGTCATCGGCATGGACGTCGCTGCCTCAGAGTTTTATCGTGATGGCAAATATGACTTGGACTTCAAGTCTCCTCCGGATCCTTCTCGATGCATCACTGGGGACCAGCTAGGGTCCCTCTACCAGGACTTTGTCAGGAACTACCCTGGTGAGGGCTGGGAGTCTGAAAGAGAGGCCGGGGGCAGGGCTGCTGACTCTGGGGCCAGGTGTAAGTGCCCTCAGAAGAACCTGAGCACCAGGCATGGGGCGAAGGGGCAGAAACTAGGTTTGGTTTGGAACGGAGCTTCATAGGGGCCTGTGGTGGGTGCTGAAGCTCCCGGAGTCAAGATGGGAAAGGATGACTGGACTTAGCAAGGTGTGTAACTGGCATGCTTCAGTATCCATGGTGGAATCAGCCCTAGAAAGGATCTAGGGCTGATGTGTGAATAGAAAAGAAAGGTTGAGGATGAACTGGGTCACCTTCTCCACCTCTACCAAGGCTCTGACTGTTAAAGGCAGAACAGAAGAAGAAGAAATTAAAGTACACTGCAGAAGGCAGGATTTAGATCAGCAATGAGGAAAGGCTCCCTACCTCCCAGAATATAGAAATACAACGACAGGCTGTGCAGCAGGTTCCAAACCTTTGTTCTTGGAAGGTTTCAGGAAATACTCGGGTTAGAATCCGGTAGGGTTGGCTCCCTTTGGGATGGGAGCAACGGTGGGTAGGCTCAGTGAGGAATCAAAGGGCAGGGCCCGGGGTGGTGGCTGCCTGATACAGAAGCCCTCCATTCCTCCTCCCCTGCAGTGGTCTCCATTGAAGATCCTTTTGACCAGGATGACTGGGCTGCCTGGTCCAAGTTCACAGCCAATGTCGGGATCCAGATCGTGGGGGATGACTTGACTGTGACCAACCCCAAGCGCATTGAGCGGGCCGTGGAGGAAAAGGCCTGCAACTGCCTTTTGCTCAAGGTCAACCAGATCGGCTCAGTCACTGAAGCCATCCAGGCGTGAGTGACCCCCACTCCTCTCCTTCTCGGCCTGTTTGCTCCAGGTCCCTTTTTGCAAGTGCTGTCCACCGCCCAGTCCTGCCCCAGGATGCACCAGAGAGCAGGGAATCTGGTCACCTTCACCGTTCTCACATCTTGCTCCCCTCCCAGCGCCCTTCTCCCTCTAGAATTGTTTCTTGACTTAGACCAGTGTCACCGTGGGAAGAGCCTGCTCCTGCTCGGTGAGACCCTGGGCTGGGGACTCAGTGTGGGTGTCTGGATGCAGGTGTAAGCTGGCCCAGGAGAATGGCTGGGGGGTCATGGTGAGCCATCGCTCAGGAGAGACGGAGGACACGTTCATTGCCGACCTGGTTGTGGGGTTGTGTACAGGACAGGTGAGTGGGGCCGCCCAGTGAGTGGAAGGGGGGCTTTGTGGCTCTCTCTCTGCAGATGGTTGAGGCAGCCAGGGGAATTTTGAGAGGAGGTTTAAGTTGCCTCTTGGTGGGTGAACTGGCCACCCCTGAGCTGCTTTATTTTTGGGGATGTTTCAGATCAAGACTGGTGCCCCCTGCCGTTCTGAGCGTCTGGCCAAGTATAACCAACTTATGAGGTGAGGGAGGCTGGGGACTGGGGGCTGGGAGCTCACAGGCCCTGAGGGTTAAAAACCCTGTTTAAACACCATTTCATCTCCAGTGCCCAGAGCCTGGTAACAGTATGTCCAAAACTAAACAAAACACTCACTGCCATCGAGGAAGTGCTGACTCCCAGTGGCTCTATAGGACAGGGTGGAACTGCCCCTGTGGGGTTCTGAGAAGGCAATTCTTTACGGGAGTAAAAAGCCTCATCTTTCCCCCATGGAACAGGGGGTTGGTTTTGAACTGCTGACCTTGTGTTAGCAGCCCTACACATAACCAATACACCAGTAGAGTCCCTTGGTAACAGTAACTATTTGATATTCATGGCCTGAGTGACGAGAGGCCACATGGGCATGCAGCAGGGGTGCTCATCCTTGGACACAGGGGCAGGTGGTGGAGGAGCGAGACACGGCTGGAGGGCTCCCAGAGAGGGAGCTGCTTACCTGACCGTCTCCTGTCTCATCTCCCTCAGAATCGAAGAAGAGCTCGGAGGCGAGGCGCGCTTCGCCGGACATAATTTCCGCAATCCCAGCGTGCTGTGATTCCCCTTCTTGCCTGGACACTTGGAGCTTCTCTCCCAGCCTGTGAACCCCTTTCTTCCTGTCTTGATCTGTGATATTTCGCCCGCTGAGATACCTGAGCCCCAGGAGCCCGGAACGCCCCTGGTGACCCTACCTGCCCGCCTGCTCTTTGGCTTGCCCAATCCTGCGCTGTCTTTGCCCTCTCCTTTCTGGGTCCCCACTCCCTTCTCCACTCTGCCTTCCTTTCTACCCTCCCTCTCCTGGAAACCTGGAAATGGGGATGAGGACGACAAGGGGAGTTTGTGGACGAACAATCAGGGTCTGTGCTGGGAGCGTCAGGGTCAGTGTGCCGGGCACTGCGAGTGGCACCGAGTGTGAACTTGTGCTTTGCGCTGGCTCCAGGAGCTTCCCGTGTTGCACATGAGGACAGGGCTGGGGTGGATGTTAAGTGGATGTGTGGCTATGCTTGGTCTAAGGCTTCAGTGTATGTGTGAATGTATGTACGCATGTATGTATGATGTATGTATCTTCTATTCATTCCATTCATTATTTCCTCATACCTCTAAGACGGGACACTTGGCCTGATCTTAAGGGACTGTGTCAGTATCTCATACGTGTGGACCCCAAGCCGACCTGGGGTGGGCAGTCTTGCTGGAGTGGGAAGGGTAGCAGAAAAGGGCCTTGCTAGTCGTTCCTTTGTGTGAGCTCACCCTTAAAGGAAGCTGGGTTGGCCCAGGGGTGGGGCTGTGTGCCTGGGGGACTCCCCTTCCGTCAGTCTCTCCCCAGACCTAGGGTCCCTGTTCTCCCTCCAGCTGCACCAGAGCAACGTCTCACTCCCCTGTTCCACGTCCCGCAGTTGCCACCACCTCTGTGGCACTGAGAGCACCACCATTAAAGTTTGAATCACAGTGCGTGGTTGTGTCTGAAGAGTCTTAACTCTACAAGGCAGAGCAACCGGGAATGGGTGGAAGTGGACAGCCCAGCTAGGGAGGGCCAGGTGGGGCCCAGCGACCCCTGCCCTCTGGGCCCCGGACCAGCAGGTATTTGGTGTTCTGAACATGGGGTCTGGATCCCTGGGTGGTACAAATAGTTAATGGTGAACTTGCTAACCAGAAAGTTAGAGGGTCAGGCTGTGCACAGGGTGCCAGCGTATGGCTAGAGAACCCTGTATCTCTTCAGCGATAATGGATGCCCAACTGAGGGACTACCAAGAAGGGGGGCGGGGGGGGGCCAGCCCGGTGCCTTGAATTGGGAAGTCACTTTCTAGCAGGTAGGGGCTGCCCTTTGGGGAGCTGTGACCACTAGAGGGAGCTGAGGTTCTGTAGGACATCACGTCTGACTGCTGGAGGTGGGGCAGGAGGAATTGAAAGGTGGTTATGTACCCTCTGTAGGCCTGCACTCTCTCATTGACATTTCTGGTCTTGGGCTGAAGGGATTCCAGTTTGGTTTGGGCCCAATTCTCTCGGCCCTCTCCTCCTGGAACCCTGACACTTCAGCCATTTCCGCCTCTTGATGTCAGTGTAGGCAGCTCATCTTTCCTTCCTGTCCTGTGTCTCCTGCCTCTCTTGGGGGTCACCCCAACTCCCAGACTTGCCAGGAGGACTCTGGTTCTGGTTTGAACCACATTCCCTAACCAATGCCCTTTCTCTCCTCCCTCCTTGTTCTGCTGCCTTCTCAAACAGCCATGTCCCAAGCTCGTCCCACCCACCCCCGCCCCCCAGGTACTGGATTGGATTGGGTTACATCTAACTCTGCCTGGGCCTCCCTGGCCCCTCTCTCCACTTTCCCTTTGTGCCGTTGCCTAGAGACCAGTGGGTTATGGGGGTGTGGGGGGCTGGGGTGAGGGACCGTGAGGTGTGTATGTAATGCTCCCTGAAGTTGAATTGTGAGCCTGGCTCTCACTCAGAGGGGCATTGGGAGGGGGTAGGCCTCCATTTCTCTAACTCTCCCCACCCCCACTCCCCTCGTTCCTACTTCACACCTAAGGCAGTTTTTCCTTTGGGGCTCAGCTAGATCGGTCACCATCCTTTGCCACCTCTTGGTGGTTGAAGAACAAGGGGAAGCTCTCAGCCCAAAGGGAGATGGGACACGGGCCTGGGCCTAGGCCCACTGGGAGAATGGAGCCGGGCAAAAGAGGAGGGAGGAGTGTGTGGAGGAGCAAGGTTGGGGAGGGGGGTTTAGGAGGGAGGGACTGTCTTGGAACACTAGAGGAGGAAAGGAGTCTGGGGAGCACAGGGAGACAGGAACTGGCCTGCTCTCTGAAGACTGCAGGGGAGGGGTAAGGAAGATGGGCAGGGAGGGGCCAGTACTAACCAAATGGGAAGGGAGGGACCTTAGGATGGTGATTCACTGCTAGGCCAAGGGAGCCTTCTGGTTCTTCATCCGACCCCAACCCACAGTGCTTTTTAGACCCCACAGAACACTGGCTGAGCTCTGGCCTGGGGAAGGAAGAGACGACGAGCCAGCCTCCTCCCCTCCCAGAAGCCAGGGGGTTCTGCCAGTTCAGGGCACCACCCCGGCCTCTGGCTGGACTGACCCCACAAATACTCGACAACTCCCCCAAATCTGGAGCACTAAGGGCTCCTGATCCCTACTCCAGCTCCAGCTCTTCCTGTTTCCCAGCCTGCCTCCCTCCCTTGCTCTGGCCTTCCCAATCTAAGCTGCCAAAAATCACCCAGTGTCTCGGTGTCCTTTGTCCTGGGAAAAAGAGCTGCTTGGTGTGGGCTCAGGGAGGGAGCCCAGGGGCAGCGGCTGATGTGTCCTGGTGGGGTGCTGGCTTCACCGCTGGAGATGGAGTGGCTGGCTGCCCAGCAGCCTCAGGGACTGCGGGGAGCAGAAAAGGGGGGTGGGGTGGAGGGTAGTGGTGCAGAGCTTGGTGTCTGTAGTGACCGTCTCCACCCTGGAATGGCTGGGGCCAGGGGACCGGGGCGCCCACGGATCTGGAGCCTCATCTCCAATCCTTTCCCTGTGGCCCAAGGCATACTAATGGGTGACTTCAAACGGATTTGAGGTTATGAACATGGAGAAGCCACCAGGCAGAAGGGCCTGAGGCTGGTCCCCAAGTCTTCCTATAAGGATATCCCTTACCCACAGAGGACATGTCCTCCTCTACATCTTGTCACTTCTTTCAAGGGACCTCCCTGCAGCTCTTGCGCTCTTGTCATTGTCCCTATCAATGACCCTCCCTCTTCCTTATTGATACCAAAGGCCTTGTTTTTCCAATCTTCTATAAGCCTCCCCGCACACATACAATTCTACCTGCCCAGTCCTGTAAACCCTCAATTCTCCGCACCCCGAATCCAGCTATCTTTCTGCCCTCTTGTCCTACCCAGAGCTCGGCTCTGCGGGAATAAGTGTGGGGCCCTCCCTCTCTCTCTCCTTCAGATCCCATGCTTCCCCTCGCCTCTTCACACGGACATTCCTGGGGACTTTTCCCTTTGGCTTTATTCGCTCGTCTTCGCCTTCCCTCAACATCAACCACTCCTAAACTCGACTCTCCCAGCACCCAGCCACGCAGATGTTGCCATCCTTCCCCTGACCTCAAACTTTCATCCCGTTTCTCTGGCGACAGCCCCCAAACGCTTCCCCCATCCTTTCGGTCCGACGCGGCCACCCCAAGTTTCGGTCGTGTCCCCCACCCCCACCCCCGGAGCGCCATTTTCCCAATCTCTGCCAGTCTAACTCATCTACCCCAATCTCTACACCGTCACCCCCAAGCTCCACCCACTTCGTGTCCGCCACGAACCGGGGCGCCCCAAACTTCGTCCACCTCCCCGCTGTCCGCCCTTGCCACCCACGGCCCCTCCGGCCAGCG